TTAAAGATATAATCCCAGACATCTAGTCTGAAGTTCAGTTTCAGAGCCTTCTGAAGCCGAACAAATCCTCTCTTTGAGCGCGAGGCTTGATTTACTTGCCTTCAAAACCACCAAGTGTTTTCAGAATTCACTCTCGGGTGACCTCTAAAAGATCGAGCTGATGGGGAATAAGAGAAGAGAAGCGATGCGACGAACGAAAAAGTCACGATAAGACTTCAATCAGAAGAGATCCTTGAGGCAAAAATTTGTCCAGTCGCGTTTAGTTCACATATTTCTCTTGTCATACGGAGTTAAGGCTAATTTGCATTAAAACGGCGAAACAAGTGCAGGTTCTTTTGCGCATTCTTAAAAGCTGTAAATAAAGTTGCAGCTATTCTCCGTGCCTTTTCGACCCGCTCTCTCTTTGTGTGAGTTTGTGTGGTCCGTGGTTACACATCGTCGCTAAGTCTCTCAGAGACATTCACGCGGAAGCCTCGTAAATGTGTAGGAATTCAAACAGCGGCAGTGCCATTTTATTTGACGTGGACTTTTTCAGCTAAGCATTAATGCTCTGCGCTGCCTCCCTCCTCACTCTCTGTCTATTTAAAATTCTCCCTGTTCTCCTTCGCTTTGCCCCGGACAAAAGCTCGGCGGGAAGCTGCGCCACTCGGCCGAGAGCTTTCAGGAATATTACCCTGTGCACCACGTGTTTGTTAGAGGCGGCGGGGACAATCTGCCGAGTCAGAAGAAAGCATGCGACTTTGAATCGAACGTGGTTTCAAAAATGCACAGAGGCTGTCTTTGGAGAAGCAGGGGCCGTTTTTTTTTTTTTTTTTTTTTTTGCATCCTCACTACAGATATAGTTGTTCGATAAAAACACAAGGTCAGCTTCAGGGGTCAGGACAGTATTCAGTGTTTTGTTGCAGCATTAAACAAATCACAGGTGTTAATTACAATTGTCAGTCTTGCGCTTTTTTTTTTTTTTAATATCGCTGCCCGATAGAACGTCAGCTGTTGCATTATCTCGCTGGACATAAATGTTGTATGATGGCCGAGTGGGGGAGGGCTGGAGGGTCGGAAGGTAATAGAAGATGTGGGGATGAATAAATCATAGCAGGCCTCCCATTTGATTAAATGTGCATATATGTGTGTATGTGCACGGGAAGCCGCAAGTCTGTCCGTGATTAACATGCAGTTTAATCAATCAGCTGCACTCCAGGGGGCTCCAGCGGGAGCTGAATTTGGACGGAGATAAGAGATTAAAAACAAGTGGGTGGAAGGGGAGCAGGAAATGACGCCAAATATAGATAACGTTTGTTTGCTTTTATCGGGATCACGTGTTTGATTGTTTACGCTAGCATTTCATCCGCCAATCTGCTGCACGCTGGCTGAATTAGCACGTCTGGCATTTTGCCTGGATTGGACATGAGATAGGCAGGAAACAAGGTCAAAGAGGCTCGTCACAGGCTTTGCATTGTCAGCCTTTTTTTTTTCTTATTATCCCTGCACTGTGTAGAATTTCAGCTTGTTGTTTATCCCGCAGCTCTCAGGAAGCCTGAGTGAAAATATATAGGACTTTATATACTGTTAAATCAGAATGATGTAATGTTTCCTCCTGCTGCAAATATGATGAGGAAATGTTCGCATTCTGGGATCAGATTTTTCGGAAAAATAGAAAGAAGACAGGAAAAAAATTTTTTCACTTTGTCAAAAATCATCAAGATATTCATCTGTTCTGGCTTGACTTGTTATTTCAACGGGAAATGACCTATTTTTTCACTTTGTCATAAATCATCAAGATATTCGACTGTTCTGGCTTGACTTGTTATTTCAACTGCTTTTTATTCTACTTTGTAAATAAGCTGTGAGTAGACTCGGGAGAATTACCTCAGGGAATATCACTGTGTCCTTACAAATAAGGCGAACACTAATTTGGAAAATGAAATTTGTATTTTCGGTCAACGCTACCGCAAAAATAAGTAGCGGATGTTGAATAGGGACACGAAAATATGAGCAAGTGGAAGTGCAATTCGAGAGCAAAGTGGATAAACATCCGAACAGACCAATCAATAGATTGATGAGGGGATAAAAGGGCAGAAGAAGAAAAGGGGGAGTTGGAAAGAAACAAGGTTGAGATGGTGTCAGAGTCGAGGCCTCTCTTCACTTTGGACCAATCAGGGCCAATCATTACGCCATCTTTGCCTGGAAATGGCCCTTCTCTTATTGATCAGTCGGGGTGCAGCTGGTGGATTCAGTGCTTGTAAAAGATGCATGTAAAGTGAGGATAGGGTTACCGTTGTACTTTAGTAACGTCACAGAAAACACATTATTGCCTGAATCTTTAACTACCCGCCCAATATTGCATCGCCAAGTGCCGATCTGCCACAGTAACGCCAAGAGAACGAAAACCTAAAGCACGACATGAGTCACGTCCGTGGGCAGTGAACCGCAATCTCCCAAAGGACCTCTACGACCACTGGCAGCTGTTTCTGTCCTTAACTACGCACTACCAAATCCATTTACTTGTCTGCAAAATGAACGAGTTGGTTGAAATGTTGAAAACGTGATGATTCAGAGCCGGGTCACCTCATTCTCAGCTGTCGTGTTTTTTTGTCTTTAGAAAAACAAGGAGAAAGCTGTAGTCAGGTGTGAAAGCACGGCTTTCAGAACAGACGCGACTGACTGTCACGCTGTTGTACAGGCCGGAGTCAGTGACGAGCTGAA